GTTACAATTCAATCGGAGTGAATCATTTCACACGAATAGAAACATTAATGACCAACTTTCTTTCGACCACCACTATAGTTTCATCGCAATTATACTATTTATTCGAATCGGGTCGCTCGGATGATCTTCTTCTTATACAAAATTAAAAAATCTCGACTGATATTACGAAAACGATCCCCGTAGTCCGAAATCGTTCGTGGAGAGTATTTACATGCGTTCAGTACATTCGTCGATTTCTGAATTATCGTTTCTGTTTCCAATGGATTCTGTTTACAAAAAAAAGACAAAAAATAGAACAGGAGAGAAGTGTGCGAAAGATGAATCGAAAACAGATGGAAACGGGTGCAGTCTTCTGAACAGTATTCGCAAACGACGTCGGGACGGTATACGGGAATTGTCACATCGTTCGTGTATATTCATCCTTTTCCTTTTACTCAGTTATTTCAGACGCAAGTTCGCTCGTCCGTTACCGGATAAATTCGAGGATAGAAAAAAGTCACAGCGAACATCGACAAGGAAACGTTAACGACAACGACAGTGGGGGGAACAAATGTGCCGTTGCGTTCCGACACTTTCGGCGCGAGATTTGAACGAACGTTTGGGCTCGTCGCTTCGATCTCTCGTTTCGTTGGAAATCTTCAAGTCTCGTTACATTTCTTGTTCTCTCATTTACGTGTAAAAGTCGAACGTGCTACACATTAGGTGTACCAATGAATAATCTACTATTATTTACTAAATTCACCGTTCACATAGAAGACAATTAAGAACTATCTGAACAACGTTCGTCTTTGTTCTTCGATTAGAAAGAAATTCGACAAAATATACTTCGATATAAATTATATGTTTATATATATACGCGGATTACTGAACTACTTGAAGTAATCGATTACTCGTTGGTAGATCTAATCGTTTCTAGAGGATCACGCTACGCATGAACGCGCCCGTGAGAGTCGTGCGATTCTTCGATCAACATGCCTCGAGTCTCTTTTCGTTTCGGACCGTTTTCAAATTACAATTACGCACCACATGTATCGTTTTATCGTGTATTTGCTTTTTAACGACTTAATACCCGACAATACACATTATCTACCGTTAGTAAGCGGTGATAAATAACAATTAGTCATAATATGAAAAACTGACGATATGATAGGTAGATCGGTCTCGTCGCTGCCACGTATAAAACTTCTGTCGACTCGTCCTCCTCCTACTCCTTACTTTTGTTTCTGCTTTAACCCATTCGACACTGATTGTACATATTTAGCTGGAAAAACCAATCATATGCATAGTAAAAATTAAGGGAGTTTATCGATTAAAGCTTTCATTGGTTTTAAGCCAAAATTTCAAAATGAATTTGATAATATAATGATCTTTTCTAAATTTTCAATAATAAACTGATAAAAAGTTTTGGTTTTCGAGGATCATTTTTTAAATAATTTAGGTTTGAATGGGTTAAACGATCGATCGTTCGATCTATTACCAAGTTGGAATTCTTGCTGAACGATCGTCGTCTGCATGGAAATAAAGACGTGAGTGTAGTTTTCCTCTTTTTATGCTTTCTTCGTTTTTTTCGGGTAATTGGCGTGATCTCGATAAACTATATTTGGTAGTTCGTTCGGTAAGTAAACGTGAACTGAAGTTCAATCGAAGAATTAGTTAGTATATCCCAGAAAAATAGTTTTATACGTCGCAACATGCAATTTGACGCTGCGATTACCTCTCTCATTGACGCAATCGATGCTACGACGATCTTTTCGCCGATACTCGCTTTGCTGTGCATAATTCGTATAGCTTCCTTATTTTATTTATTTAATTTATATAGTTTTCATATCAGTTAATTGTATATTATGCAAAGTACAAGTGTTTTCAAATGACATCAGGATAGATTGTATAAATTCGAACAAACAGTCTGAATAGAAAATGGAGTTTTTATATGTATTCGTTGACGAATTGAAAATTTGCTTAACAGCAGCGTAAATGTCATTAGTAACCAAGAAATGACCGGTTATATAAAGAATGATACAATTAAGTGAAAATTTTATTTAGTGAGTATGATACAGGTATGCAATTTATGAATGTACCCGTGTATACAATAATACATTAAATAAAAACATAAATAATAGCATTGTATAATAAATAATCATATAGAAAAAGAATAAACAACATGAAGAATTAAAAATTAATTTATAAAAATATTTATTAAATTTATAAATAATATAAACTCTTGAATTTAAAAATGTAAATATCATTGCTTTTAGCATTATTCTTAATTAGGATGAAGAAATAGTAAATTAAAAAGAAATAGAACCTTCATTACGATTATGAATAAAAAATTTTATATTTAAAACAGGTTTTGTAATCAATTTAGTTTAAGTATCCTTTCTTCTCGATCATGTTGGAATCCTTGATTATTTTTTAAAATCCTTCACAGAAAAACTACATGCATATGTTTTTTCTTAAGAATTGCATTAATCTTTCCAATTATTATATTGTAATTTTTATTGATTTAATTACAGTTAAATTACTTTTTTATAAAACATTTTAGATATAAAAAAAAGTGTTACGTACGTATATCACCGTTTAGATAAATGTGGGTACACATATTCACGTTCTCAATTTTACAGAGAAGTAAGTTTTCTATCGATAATTGTGTTTTAACATAAAATAAATTTAAATCTTATCCTATTCTGGTAATCAAAGTAATTTCGAGAAAGTATATTGTACTCTGCATACCTTGACACATAAAATATTGAAAGATCAAATACGTTGTTATTGAACCATATTGTTTCATCATTGATTTACTAATAAATTATTCGTATCTTGAAACATAAGGTTCTTGACTTACAGTTTTACTTTATATTAATGAACATTAACAGTATTATTGTCTGAATAAGTGATGCAGTATAAATAATAGAACACATATTTTACTTCATTACGTAAGTTGTGATTTTTATTAAGAATTTATGGTCTTGAAAATGTAATTATCTTATATTGATGTTTAAGAGTTCATAATTTATGCATGGAAAAACATTTGTATGATAAAATTTTCAAATAATTCAGACCTATGCATTATTCTTATTAAAACCCGAATTCACAAATTTTTCCGCAACTATTTACTTCAATTTACTTAAAATTGAGAATCTTGATCGCAAAACATAAATTATATTTTCTTTATTTTTATCTATTGCTACTCGTTATTTTTTCTAGTTTTTATAAAAAACAGAAATACGCACTGTTCTCATTTGTTTATCCTTTCGAATGTGTATGAAGTATAAAACGATTAATTATTAGTAGAATGGAGTACAAAATTATTATTACTAACAATAATATATAAGCATTAATAATAAATACTTTGAATAATATTTTCTGAACATTCCTTCTTACTTAGTATAAATTTAAATTGCTTGAATCTTTTTGTCATCTTTCTCTATTTGGTCCATACAGTCAACAGTGCTGCATATTTGCGAACCAGAGATGTTTAAAAACAGGAAGAAAGAAATGCTATATTTAAAGATTGATATTTATATTAACAAAAAGGTGTTTTGAATGAATATTATGAACACATCATTATCTTCTCCTGTTATATATTTATTAAATACTTGTATATACTTTCCATACTCGGCAGAATATTTATTATTTTCATCAGTTTGATATCTGTGACTAATCATTAAATTTATTCTTTGTAAAGAACTTTAATATATCCAAAGTGCAAAAACTTTTCGCCTGCTCTTTTTTCGATATCGTGGTAACCTAGCATTCCATTTTTATTCCGCGCAGGAACCTTTTTCGGGGAATAGGTGAGCAGGCACACAACTGAATGTTCACTATCATTTATTTTCCAATTTTGAAAATGTTTAGCTTTATATACTTCTTTACACTGGAATAAACTACGTCAGAATCGCTTTTGCATTTAACCCCTTTTCACACTTAAAAAAGGCTATCTTTTTAATATTCGTCAAAATAAAAAAAAGCTACGTCTCTAACAAAAATGAAATATTGATAAAAAGTTTGTACCACATGTGTACCAATAATTATTTATTGTTATTTTAGTAACTATTAATAGTTTAACAATGAATGCTAAAAAACTATTCTATACAAAGTACATAAGAATTTAAATATTTTGCAGCTCAAAAATTATATTACAGAACTGTTTTTCAGTTTGGAAAAGACGTGTTACACAAGAAATTTATTTATAGACCACATTAATGCAAAAAGTGATATAGAAGTGACACATTTTCAAAGGTGTATCTCGAAAATAACTAGTATTTTTGATTTTCAGTTGATTACCTCTCACCAACTCTTAACCGGGAAACGACGTAGCATCGAGAGTCAACATTGAGAGGGCTATCGTATGTTTGGCACGAAAAACATTGGCCGTAAACGTCGTTCATCGAGCCAGATCACGGCGATCCGACGACGCAGAGAAAACCTCTTCCGGTCTCCGCATAGAACAGCGACGTCTGTGTAAAAAGTGTAGTCGTACGACAAGAAAACCGAGAATACCTTCGTCCTCTCTCGGCTCGGATCGGCGCGAACTGGCAGTGACGGTTACTTAATAATATAATATATTTACACGATTAACCTATGCTCACATGACCCTCAAACATCCATCAATCAGCTTTACATTGTACATCTTTCATTAAACGTCTATGCGTATGTATATTTATATTTATATTTATATTTATATTTATATTTATACTTATATTTATATTTATATTTATATTTGTATTTATATTTATATTTATATTTATATTTATATTTATATTTATACTTATATTTATATTTGTATTTATACTTACGCTTATACTTATACTTATATCTACACTTATACTTACACTTATACTTATACTTATATTTATATTTATATTTATATTTATATTCATATTTGTATTTATATTTATATTTAAATTTGTATTTGTATTTGTATTTGTATTTATATTTATATTTATATTTATATTTATATTTATATTTATATTTATATTTATATTTATATTTGTATTTGTATTTGTATTTGTATTTGTATTTATATTTATATTTATATTTATATTTATATTTATATTTATATTTATATTTATATTCGTATTTATATTTATATCTGTATATATATTTATCACACGCAGTACTCACGCATCGAATATACACACCATTTTATCAGTTTAAAAAACGTTATCGCGGCTCTAGTGTGCGGGTTACTCATATTTTCTCTCGTCCTTTGCGCAACGGGTTCCTCTTCATTTTCACGAGATCGAAAAAATAATTGCACCGGTGTACAATGACCATCGTAATCAATCATCGTGATCCATAATAAAAACCTAGCGATAATAGTAATCAGAATATAATGGTAATCATTAATAGTAGTGTTTATCGTCACAATCGACCCCTCATCTTCGGCTCAAGCTGTGATCTCCCTCGATCGATTTAATTCCTTCAATCAGAATCTCTTCATCGTTCCCCGTGTCTTCCTCCTACGTCATTTTCCAAATTTCTTCGCTTCGCTTTGTTTCCGGCCGACGTGCGCATCCCTCGTTAAATATGTATACGTATATGTACGCCAGTGTGCTCGTGTGACCTTGTGTTTCGCGTGTGTCTGTGTTCATCAGTGTTCGGGTACGGGTAATTCGTTCTCACGGAAAAAATGGCAGTTATAGTAATTGTCGAGCTGTTAGTTGCACATGCACCTACCCCAGGACCATCGGATTCTACAATCGAATCGGTCGCGACCATTTTTCGTCGCTGGCTGAGCCGGTCTGCTTACTCGTGTGTTCGTATGCATTTTGATTCGCCTCGTTTTGTTCATTCGAATTATTACGATTATATACAATGTACAAACCGCGGCAGCTGGCGAGCACTGTCATAAAAACTCACCCCGATGCATCCGGAACGAGGCACACTTGAATGATCCTCCCCCGATCGTACCGGACTGGAACAGTCCCCGCCGATCGCCGCGACAAACGATGATTTCTCCAGCTTCCAAATTACCCATCGAACGATGAACAAGGATCCAATCGTTCGCCACGCTTGAACCTTGCTCGCAATCTCTCTCGTCTCCCGTAACGAGAAAAACGACTCGAGCACGGAGGAACTTTCTTAAACGTGAAAAGACTGAATCGCGCTCCTTCCATTCCCCGTTTAGTTTGATTCCGTTTGATTATTAATCTCCTTTCGTTTCGTTTTGTTTTGTCATTTCTTAACACACCGGAAGCGTCGAGAAAACGGCGAGTCGCTAAGATTCGACCTTTGGCAAACGCGTTTGCTCAGGGTTGCGGATAGAGGATTGCCGGTTGACGCGTGTCCACTGAGAGAAGACTCCTCTTGTTTGGTCTTCTTCTCAGCGGACACCACCGGAACACGGAGGTTACTGAGGTTTTCCTGCACTGTTACTTCCTGTCTTTCCTGTTTGCTGCACTTTTATATTACGTATTCCGGTTTGTCGTCGCCGATTTTGCCGGTCCAGACCCTAGGGGACGCCGGTGTCCACGGCACCGCGATGTCTAGCATCATGTTGCTCGGCCGCCGCTGGAACGGCGAGAACTTGATCCTCTTTGGGCTCTTCGGCGGTGACTCCGCGAAGGTGACGCTCCTTCGCGGCCTCCTCGGCGGCGGCGGCGGTGGTGGCAGGTCCGCCATCGCTGGCGGTGGTGGCGGTGTGGGGAGAGATATGGCGGGCGACTCGCTTGGAGACTCCAGGTAGTTTACACCTGGGTATGCGTATTGCTGTGTACCTGGTCGCCCTCGGTATTGCCAATCGCGTTTGCTGGAGCGTAGTACTGGAAATTTAACGGTGGTTGCGTTTAGCGGGCGGGTGATTGGGTTAGCCGGTTTCTTTTAGTTCGGGTGTCTTTGGTGAACTGGTGGCCGCATTGTGATTTAGATTGACGGATTAGGAGGAACATATTCGGAAACTGTATTTTTATTATATTAGTACTTTCTATTAATTTATGTATTGTAGATTGGGTGCAATTAAGATCTAGATGATAGGATCATCGTAGTTTTATAGTAGGGTTACTGTACGGTTGGATTCATGTTCGTGACTTACTGAAATAGTCGTGTGTGCGATTTAGTATCAATTTGGTTGTTGTTAATTTAGTACCAAAAGCTATGCGTTTGAATATTATGTCTAATATACATTTACTCTTTTTTACTGATATTCTTTTACCTTTAATTTTGAACATCCTTCCTCCTAATTATACAATTTAAACCATTGTGGGCTTGTCAGTGTGCGGTTGCTTTTGTTGTGAGTGACAATTGTGATGCGGATGTTTATGCAATGTTGAGATTGCGATGAAGCTGGGACGAATACGTCAATTCTTCTTTTTAATGGGAATTTGGTTTGTGAAAGTGTTTTTAGTGTTTGAAAAATAGAAGTGGATACGTTAATGTATAAATCTTGAGATGATTAATTTGTTGGTATATGGAGGTGTTTCTACTGTGCTGTTAAATGGATATTGCTTTGTATTGTAGCAAACATATTTTGGAATGTATTAATTTTTGGTTATATGTGAACTATATGAATTACTTTTTATTTATTAGGATAGTGAAAAAGTATTATCGATGCTGTGGATTTGTGAGATTCACATATTTTAAGTGTCTATTGCTTGTAAATAATCTTGCCTTCACTCAATTATAAAACAATATTAATCTTTAACCAACATTATACAATGTTAGTATTATTATATTCACATTTTTACAAATTTTGGTAAGGTATTCTGTTAATATTTTCCACAATTCATAAAATTTTATAAAACCAATATTTAGAACAAACTTGTTGTCCTTTATTTTATGAAATTCAATTTTGAAATTAATACAACATTTCATTAGATGCGTCTTCTCCTTTCATGTATTAAAAACTCAACATAGCTTTAACGTTTTCTATAAATTATAGTTACCAGAAGTAACTGCACCAATAGTTCAATTTTGGGTTTCAATTAACCATAGCTTGTTTAGGAAGATACGTTCATAAATAAGCTTTACGAGAACTTTTTAACTTCTTGGACGTTTTATTGCTAATTTGGATTACTTGCATGAACATCCGCAAATATCCGTGTGTTTTGAAGAGAATATAAAACAAACGACTGAAGAGAATGAATAACACAGTCGTGTAAATCACGAAAAAGAGAGTGAAAAATAATTGTACCTTTATGTGCCTTTCAAATATTATTAACTCCAGTGCCATTAACTGTAGGTTCCAATCGATAAGTCGGATCGAGTAATCACTACATAATTTTAATTGTGAACGTAATGACAGAGGTGCATAAAGCTCTTTTGTTTTGTTTCCATTCTACAACCTGCTTTTTGTGCAATATATGAGCCATTCATTTGTTAAATCGATTAAGTTCACAAAACAGAGAGGTAGAGAAATTGCCAAAGGAAATTGTATGTCTTTAGTACAGCCTATGAATCATTGAATAAATTATGAAATGATAATAAACAATAATAAAACACAATAGATAAAAGCGACAAAGCAAAAGCTAGAGTTCAGCTTGTGCTTATCGTAAGTTATAAACTTAATCGTTTTGACTTCTGAAATAAATTTATTATCATTTTCTGCTCAAAATAGTTTCTGTCATTTTGCAACATTAATACTAGATTTATGGAACGCTTCCCTTTGACGCATATTGGATTTTATAAACATTACTTAGTGAACGTTTATATTGATTTTGATTGATACAATTACGCGAATATCTATCCTAATATTCTATTTTTAAATCCCAAATTTCCAAGATTTACACGAATGAATATCAACTTTTCTAGAAATAATAGAAAAGACGATACGATAAACGTTTGTAAACCCAGTGTTAGAATAATTATTAAAGAAATTTTTTTTAAATGCAGAAAGATAAGCATCAATCAAGTATTTTGGCACTAAAATCTCAAAAATTCAAAAAGTGGACTTAATCGACTTAACCTGCGAACGGCTCATATAATACTTGATATCAGTTGTGAAACTTGAAAGAGACGAACTAGGAAACATTGTATCCTTCACTTAGGAAGAACGTAGTGGAGATGATGTTGTTTTACATACTGTATACGCAATATACAAGCACTATAATTCTTAGAAGCGGCATGCGAATCCACAAACTGGACTTCGGTCACATGGACCGCTAGAAAACGTTTTAAGCCATGCTCATTTTGCTCTAGAAAGCTAGATAGTCGTTTACGATAGAGTAACTAAGAATGTTTAGATAGAGAAAAGATTGTGAAATAAAAAAATTTGGGTTAATTGTAAATTAACTAAAAAAATGATAATGAACTTTTTCAGGTATACTAACTTTTCGTTGATAATGGATGTTCAAAATGGCGAATTATGAATTCACCGGTTATTAACTGATGTTTACATTTGGACATGATTGCACTATGTAACTAATGATTAGCAAGGATTTTTATTGATAAATACTGAATATAAATCTTTCATTTTACTGTTCACAAAGTACATAAAAAGGTGATGAGGATCGTTAGTAAAATTCTTAATAAAAGGAATAAAAGGAAGAAAATACGTCGAAAATGAATGCGAAGAAGCGGGAAGTAGTTCTTTGAACTACTCATGATTGATCCAACATATATTATTGTTAATAAACGTTTGTAAATTGTTATACGTAAATAAAATAATATAATTTAATGATAATAAATAAAATTATTTATAAATTTATTGTTAGTAAACAAAATTAATAATTATGATTGACTTATTCTTCGGGAAACATTGTTTTCGTACTTCGTTTTTTATATGAATTCGATCTACTGTGTAACTATAAATATATAATGATCCATATTCACAATACTTAATTCCCTGATTTATAACATCAAATCACACAGGTAGCTGAAATTTGAAATAAATTTCATAAATACAAATATTCTCCAGTTCAATTAAAAAATCAAATTATCAACCTCAATAACGGATACTATTCCAAATTTACATTGATCTTTTACAGTGAACATTCGTTGACAAAAAATATGTACACAATTTATTTCACCACTGGAAAATTATAATTAAAATTATTACATAATTTTCACTAGTCTAATCACTAAATCTTAATTTAACGTGCTAAGCCACGTCGTAGTTACAAGTAAGCTAATCATAATTACTATCCAGAGAATCTATCTCACATCGAACTGTCTGATGCAATACTTCAAGAATGAAACTAGAGAAATTAACGTTGCTCTCTATGAGACCGATAATAAAAACATTTGATTTGATCAAAATTGATGATAGAAACACAGCAGAAAGTCATAGTGCGTATACAAGGTCTGCTATTTTAATCTATAAATGCAATTATTCTCGGAACAATTGGATATTTAAAAAATGTATAAAATGCAATTTTGTCCTGTTTTATAAAGAGCAGTAATTTATTACACTTACAATTAGTTTCTCTCTAAGTAAACATGTACATGAGATATGAAGTTGATTACTATTTTGTCAAATATAATTAAGTAATTTTTTGCATGCAGCAGATGTATTATAATATTCTCTAGAATAAACTGTCAACTTGCCTACGTCGAATATCCATGAAAACAGAAAAAATTGCATTTGAGACATTTTTTAAATATCGAATAGTTCCATAAATAATTACATTTATAGATTAATCCTCCACTAACAATATAATTTTTCACCAATATGAGCAACAATATGCATTTTTCTGGTCAGTCTTGATTTTTCGTTGTTGTAAGGTCTGTAAAAATCTGAAAAAATTGTAAGTTATTCATTATAGATCCTAATACAATATACAGAAGACATATTAGCGAAATCTTCATATGACTTTGCAATGAAAATTAAAAATCGTGGTGAAGTCATGAAGAAATGAGATTTTCGACATATAATGTTAAGTATGTACATATTGTCCGCTAAGGGTTCGAATGGGACATCCTGTATGTGTAAATACGTGTGCGTGTGTGTAGGGATGCAACTCGAAGCCATGTACACAAGAAGCGGGGATAAAGAATTATACGGAATAAAGAGATACAGAAAGTGGGGAATTAAAATTAAGGACGAGAGTACTCACATATGGTCCCGGGAAAGGCGCATGCATCCTCCGTCTAACTCTGCAGTCCGTACCACTAGAGACAAAAATAAAAGTAGAAAAAAACCGCGCAAACGAGCAAATACGTCTCCTGCATCCATCGAGTACAAAGAAAGAAAGATAGAGATAGGTAGAGAGATAGATAGATAGATAGATAGAGAATAGATGGAGGTAGAAAATAGCGCAACACATCCAGCCAGCCGCACATCGCACGCATTTATGTATATATGTATATCTATCGTAAATAAATACACAGGATGGCAATAACACGGTGGCGCGACTCGACTCGGACGAATTTACATGAAAAAATAGTTCATAAACGTGCGATACAAGTTGTCCCTTTGATTCGTTTTTGAGGATATTTTCAAAAATTCGAGAACATGTAAATAACAATGAATACCTTCAAAGGAATCTTTAAAATCATAGTAAAAAAATGTAACAGTATTATTTAACGAATAATAAACACTAAAATTGTTTACGAATTATACACATTTTATTTACGGTTAAAATTATTTCATGCAAAACTTACTAAAAAAATTCGAAAAAAATTCCACTTTATTTTACCTGAAGCAATCTGGATTATAAATTACTAGAGTATCATACTTTCCCATGCAAAATCAACTCCTTCAACGATCGCACCACCGGCTCGCTGTCACTCTGTATATATGTATATATATATATATGTTTGTATACTCTCTGTATTCGTAGCTATGTATACACGACCTATCGGCAACGATCGATGATCGTTCACCAATTGATCGTGACGTCGAGAACCCCATCCTATCACGAAATTCTCAATCGTCTTCCATTTACAATGTATGTCGACTGTTTACACTCTGCTAACTGCATGCTATACGTTCTCTATTGTATGCTTCTATGTGTTACGTATATATGTATAAATATATACATATATCACATACATACACATATCTGCAGGTGTATGCATGTACAGGCTCCATATTATACGGTATGTATAATGCACCCTTGCTCTCTGTTTACGATTCTATGTTACACGATACATTGAGATCGTTGGCTCCAGAGAGGCGAACGGTAAAAACATGCACGGGCTGTTATGCATCCCCGTCCCGGAAATGGACCAAGCCGGATATACGTTTCAAATGCTTTTATCGGGCCGGTGAAACGAAATACTTTATTCTACCGGCCGCTCATCTGTCGCCAACACGGTTCTACCAACGCGTACACTCTAGACGCGGCGTTCGCGTGCGTGTTCAACAAAACGTTCACGAAAAATCTAACGATCAATGAACGACTGCAGGTGTTACTTACCCGGCCATTATCGAAATCTCGGCCACCACCAATTGTTAGTCTAGCTTTCGCCTTCATTGCGTCTGATAATGGTATCTGAAAGAAAGAATGTTTGTTTGTGTAGTATACGTTTCATTTGTGGTTGTTTCTATCTTTGATTGGAGTAATTCCGGGTGAGATGGACCGATTTCATTTATTGTCAGATATCTAGATTTTGAATTGTTTGTAGTGGTATATTGAACGTTGCACATTTTCTTTTTATTAGGTATTATTGATATTTACGATGTAACAGTTCTTTTAAACAAGGAGCTCATCTCTTTCCAACTTATCCTACTTAGCGTAAGAAAAGAATGTGAACGTACGTTTTATAATGTAAATTTAAGTATATTTAATTAATGTCAAATACATAATATTTACGACATACACGGATAACGACTGAGCAATGACAAATTATAAACACAATTGAAATTAATGAACTTTGTTTCTGAGGTAATATTGTTTAAGTGTTGGTATTATAGATATACATACATATATCTTCCAAGTATTGTATTTATTTATTTTATTTTTACTATTTGAGTAAGTGAGAGTTGTATTAATGTAGCAAAAGTTTTATTATTTCATCCATTTATTTTGGTTTTACTATTTAAACGAGTGGAAAAAGTTAAATGATTAAATATTAGTTTTTTAAAGAAGTAGGATAGTTTATTACTTTTAAAAATTAATTGTTATAAATTGATGAGGAAATAAACCTCGATGGACGTTAGACCGACCATGCGACGACACAATAACGAGGAGGAACGCGTGGAAAACAAGTAAAGTATAAACAAAAGAAAAAGAAAGAGAATAAAACTACGTACTCTGAATAACTGAATATGCGTAAAACACAGCCTTTGGCTTGCGAAATATTCTACCAGCAGTTCAAGTTTCATATTGTAGTTACTATTCTATATATATATTTATGAGTCTTTTGTAATAGAAAACAGAACAGAAATGCCCGTTCGAGGTCAGTGCTCCAAATAAATGCTTGACAAAGCTTCTACTTTTATATTCACAGTTATGTACAAGGACATGATAAATGGAACGTCATATAAAAAGGTGATGCATTAGTAAAAATTCCAGAGTAATAGGCAACGACATTAAATTTTTTCCATACAAAGTCGCAGATGGAAAATCATATTACAAAGAAATGTTATTAACAAAATAGTAAATGCATAATAAAAATAGAAAACCTTTTTTACAAATATAATAGTATATAAAATACATGCAGTTTAGGCATTTTAAATGAACATTTTTATACAGCAGATGATACTGAATATGTTAAAACCTTTCAAAGTCAACCATTTGAAATATATAATTTGTAAGTGAACATGAAAATTGTGAGAATTAGTATTTTCGATAATCGATCGTTAAGCAACTATTAAATATCCGTAAGTGCAAAGTTTTATTTCACTTTTAAAACTGTCAAACATTTTCGGCATGAATCTTTAATTTATTTACTGCAACATCTTAATTAGAAAAAAAGAAATATATTATAATATTACGTATTTATTTTATTTTTAATAATAAATTCAGTTCCATCTCTTCACAAGATATGTTTTATATTTTATGTTATACAGTTCATATTTCATTTCGCTATGGTTGAATTTTTTCTATCACGTTAATTGGTCATTTTGTACCTTTGCTCTGGTAGCTTCTGTATGAGATTTGTAACAGAACTCCAATAAAGCGACAGCTAACGCCAAAAGGAGCCCTCCAATGAGAATGTAGAATATTCCTGCCACGTTGCTGAGGGATAACTCGTTTCTGGAGGCGTCCTGTTTGTCTCCGTGTCTGCACTCGGTTCTATCATACCACCATCGGTTCACCAACTTCGTTAATTCACCGTTTTCCTTCAACGACAATACTGCTAGGTTTATCGGGTCCCTGTAAGATTGTAAACTCTAATTAATTCTAATAATATTTCTGAAGATACGATGATAATATCAACGGCACATGGAGCTGAATAAGTTAAGTTTAAAAGCTGTACATTAATCAGGCATATGAAAAGTAAACAGCGACTTATGAAGTTAAATAAATTGAGATTAATCATATTCTATAAATAAGAGAATTCTTTTAAGAAATAACTTTACTATCTTCCTTAGAATTCTTTTAAGTTTGAATACCAAGATACTCTTGAAATAGTTAAAATTAACACGTCTATAAACCTCAAGATATTCATATTTTCGTAAAAATGTAAAATGGTTAAAAAATTAATTATTATCTCGCACACTCCCCCATGGTGTTCTGCACAATCTTTGTGTGAAATATTCATTCATCTAGTAAACAGAGAATACATTATAATATATTCGTTCAAGAATAATATTTAACGTTATTTGAATCAATATATAAGTAGAACGAGTGACTAACATACACGTTTCTTAAGTGATAATGGCACGAAAAATTGGTTATTCCGATTTTCCTATGCTAATTGTGTATAACGACGTGTAGTATTTGAAAGCATGGACCGGAGCTTTAAAAGTTCCTGCAGGGACAAGGGAAAGATGGTTTTCCCCTCCCGATGACTAAAACCTCAATAATTACGCACTCATACGGTAGAAATAGGTCGAACGTATCTCCCTTCACATTATTTTTATAAACTTTTAGAACGGACCCTTTGCCATGCTCAAAGATTTAAAATAAATTACAAACTTATTTATCTCAGTAATTAATAGAGGTTTACGAAGAAAACAGGTCAACACTTTATTCACTTTTAATTAAATGATTTTTTTAATTAAACGAAATTTTATTTCCTACTTCTTTCTAATGCAATTATTTTTTATAGTAAAGTGAGGCATATGGAATGCCCAAGAAGATATAAGAATCATTAAAATTATTTAAGAATGATTTCAATATATCAAAGAATATACTAGATGTACTTTATATAATATAATAATAATAATAAATGATATTCAGACCTTATTATTAGTTAACAAAATAATTGGATGATCAATTACTAATTGTAAGAATAGCAGAAATATTTACAAACATTTACAAGTATTATTGATATTATTATTACCATTATTAACCATTCATCCAATTACATTGCCAATTACTCAATTAACTTTATTGCAAAATTATTGTCACATAAAACCCACTATAAATAGAAAACAAAATCAAATAGAACGTATACTTAAATGAACCTTTTCTATTCTTTCGGTGTGATGCAAGCATCTCTAAAGTGATTTTTATTTGTTAATGTAAATAAAAAAATTTTAATTATAAATTTCTGTACATTACCTGAGAGGAGATCCAAGTGGTGTAGCGACGCCGAAACCTTTAGCATCGAGATTCCTGCCCACTTTCATCGTGTCGCAAGGTTCTCTTTCGTTGATGTACTCATTCTTTGGGCTCTCTATCAGAAGAGCGTATTTTCCTTTACTAGTTCTGACTCTCCGTATACCTTCGTCATATGTTTTAACAAATACGTGCTGTCGTGAGTTCATGAATTCCCACATTTTGCTGTAGAGATTGATTTGCGATTTCTGTAATAAAAAACAAACAAACAATAATATACATACATCTCATAATTAATGTGCTTTTTGGAATTGCATGTGATGTGTTTTTCGTTAGGAACAAGTGAATTTTGGAAGGACATTAAAAATCTACCAGAAAGATGGAACAGCATTGTAGATAATAAAGGAGAATATATTTTACATTGAAAAAAAAGATCTTTATGCCTCAACTTTTAAAAGTAATAGAAATATTAAAAAATCACATTGTTTGTGAGATGAACCAGTACTTTATTAATATTAATTTAATATTATGATTATTTAGACTGCTATTGTTTATTTTTACTTATCACTAGACATCGGTGAAATGAACGATTACAAAAGACCCTAATACTTTAATACATATTATTGTTAAATAAATGAGAATGAAATTAAATTCTTATCCCAAATTCTCATTCTTTTAGGTTTCGTTTAGTAATATTTAATAGAAATACATAAATATCTTCAGTATACTTACGCGAAAAAAGTCCCAGGTAGATCCGTTAGACAAAGTGCCATATTGAACTTCTGTTTGCGATGCCAGATCTTCCGGGGAGTTAATTGGAGCAACCATTCGTTCCACGGTTAAAAATGCAGCCAAGTTTGCAGTGTAAGATGAGATCAATATTAATGTGAAAAACCACCAGACACTGCCCACTATTCTTCCTGATATTGACCTGTCAAATACATTAATGACAATAATTAAAAAGTGAATAACGAAACCTTAGAATATTTACGTATTCATAGAACATTTGAAATTATTTTTTCGACACTTATAAAATTTTATAATCTTATGTATACGTGTTGGAATTTACAAAATGATATTGTTTAATCATTACATTATTATAAGTATAATATAATTATAAAATTAATACCATTTTTGAATACAGTAGTTTAATTAAGGTAACGCAAAAAGGAATAAAGTAAAAATATCATAATTCTCTTGTAGATCCTAGAGTTTATTAGATTATTTATTGAAAATAGGATCCATTGTTATTAAAACTATTAAATGGTCACAGTGATTAATTTGCAACCTTTTTTTAAATTGTCAAATTTATAATGATGCATCTTCTAGTATTTGAAAATTTGCATATTAAAATATTAATTTTTACTGCAAATGGATGGATACATACGAATGAAAAATATGTCAGTTGTTAAGAAATTATTTTTCTATAACGTATTACAAGCGAATAAAGAGATTGATGTCAATATTTTTGCCATTATCAAAAAAAAGGAGATTTAAATTACTTCCTCCAACACCAGTACTCTCGTAATGAATCGAAAGTGTACACGTAATTGCACTTGATATACGCATATAAAAAATCTAACCAATCTGCTATTACCTATATTATACTAAATCACCCGTAATTATATAATACTAGCAGCCATGGTAGTGACCACTATCATTTTTCTCGCATTATAGGCGTCAAGTTCGTAATTTCTAAAAGCAGAAAATTGGTATACTTTCGTCCATATGCAGCTAAATTTTCCACATTATACCCCAATCCAACAATATCAAATCGTTTCCGACATGTAAAATCGTAAAAAAATGAATCGATATCGACGCCGTTTCTCCTCTCATGCGAAGAAGGAATTTATATTCTTAGTATATGGGCAATTTTGTATATTATTAACATAAATACATGGGCATATAATAAATAACATTATGTAAATAACAGTATATTTATATCCTATACTAAAACTACTAAATATATCAAAATGGTCATTTCGAATTTGTTTCTCTGCAATCATAGAAAATGTAAGATTACGCTCTTAACATATTATTATAAAAATTGATTCATTTATGTATAGACTAAAACATAAGTCAATCGAAATATCTACCAATATACTAATTTATATTCAAAAATTGTTTAAAATTTAATAATTTGACTACTTGGTAGTTCGAATATTAATTCACTTATAATACTCGTGAATGTCAGTATCAGTGACATTCAGGAACTCTAAAAATGATTGCATTTCTTTATGAAAATGAACATTTAATATTATTTATTACGAATTTAATAGAATCGTAACTGCACTTTTCCTTTGATTAGATTATACGCTACGCATTCAATTGATATGACATCATTTAATAATGAAAGTTTACGTCCTAACTACGGGAAATCTCGGAATAGAGGGAGACGAAGAGGCAAGCAAAATGACGGCGGGGAGAAGCGGTGGACGTTGGGGACAGAAGGTTCTACGAAATTTACAATTCATATCGCCGCCGCTCGTATATTTAAACCATTAATCAAGGAGGCTACCGCGATGGGGTGGCATGGTGGATACGGTGAAATGTAAATTAATTGAGCCCCAGTTTCAACCCGTTCAAGACCGCAAAATGCTCGAGAAAATGCCAATGACTTACATTTTTAGTATAAGAATAGACACTTTGGTAATGTTCAGACTGATCTCATATTTTTTATATTTTATTTTTATTTAGGTATTTACTTATTTATTATTTATGTATCGAATAAACCCTTCAGTTATATTGCAAAGATTTCAAACACAACGAAAATTAAGGTTGTTTTTAACACGTTAAGTTTGGGATAATTCTTATATATTTTATTACAGAGAAATAACTAATAATAATACAGAAAGCAATTTCGTGCTTCGAAAATACAAATTTTGAGCAATCAAGAAAATTTTAAACAGTGGGGCAGGAGAAAATATCATATTTACAAAGCATTAATTATTAAGTAATATCGTTTGTATAATATTCAATAACACTGTAATTGTATTTGTATTAGTCACAGTAATTCTTATACCGAATAATTAGGTTAATTAAAGCATGAAGAATTTAATTAAGATTACTTGCATGTTACGTAACAATTAGTATGAGTGGAAGTCAATGTTATTTAGTTCCTAGGTCGCCTGAGGGCAGAGAGGAAAGGCCATGACCTTATAAGACCCTGAACTCTTTACTGTATAACGTGTTAAATTTATTTCAGGTGCTAATGTCCCACACATAAACAATATGTAAACATCCTGTAGTCCTCCTGTAAATAATGTACTCTTTCTATACTTCTTCTATTTTAAAAAGTTAAAATACATACAATTTTTTAAGTCTAAAATATGTTTTTCTTCATTACCTATAGATTAACCATCTATATATTATAATTAGATTAAAAAATATTTTCTTTGCCTTAATTTTGTAGAAGAGAAAAAACATAAAATAAACCGTGTTATTTATAAGATGACCCAATGTTTATATTAACAGACGACATCAAAAATTAAGACATACTAGGATCCTCGTATAAAAGTAAAATAGGAATTTTTAACTTTATAGCAGGCGCTCAAAACGGCAACCCTCGATCAATATGCAAACTTGAAGCCGTATGTATGTAGTATCGAATTATTTCCTAGAAAAGAATTTCACAACCGTTTAGAAATTCCAGAACTGTCTCGAGTCTGTTAGCAGCCTTATTGTACACGTGCACGAAGCACTTTACTATGAAGATGCGGGTTATAATTATTGAAACACAAAGTACCCATAACTTCGAAACAAGGTCAAATAGAACATGTTCGTATGAACTTTTTCATTGCTCTTGTGTCCCCGTTCACTCCTGAAACGGAACCCGCATGTTACAATACGTATAATTATGTGATAATTGTATAAGTTACTTGAATAGTTCTCCTCTCGATAAGTTGAAACATTACTTTTCGGTAGCCGATCAATAGGCTACATATCACCAGCGTTTAACAATCAGACACCTATAAATAAACTCCCTAAATCTTAAGCATTGAATATTTCAGTTTTTAAACATTTTATCATTTTTCATATTAATTCTTGTAACAATTATTAATAATTTGCAGAAAAAATTATGTTTTATATTGTATAGAATTCAAGTTTGAACTGATTGATCTCATGGGTATAACTACTAAATTTGTAGTCGACAAGCAATATGTTAAGATGGGTGATATAATAAAGCATCAGTTTAATTTTTGCAAAATACACTTGTATGGAGTAATAAAAAATATTTACATTTGTAATCCTTTTTATACAATACGTATGAATACATACATATTATATACGTACATGTAAAATTTAAACAAATAAAATTGCATGTTTTACATTTTTTACGCATACCAAAGACAATAACACTACACTCAAGAGATTAATATGGAACACCGAAATTTAGAAGCTTGTAAAAGTCAAAGGTATGTATTTTTTGCAATGAAACCTGCGGCGAAACACAAAGAAATTATAATCATTTATACAGTCATTAATAGAAATGCATAAGTTTAAATGTTTTGAAACGATGGTGGAAAGTGTAAATAAAACCAAAAGCTGCGAATTGAAAAATTCGTTCTTAATATAAAATGCATACAAAATGTTTAAAGAAAAGTCATTTTTGTCATAAGAAATAAACATTTATTGAATAAAGAAAAGTAAATAAATGAATTTTTCGCTTTCTAAATTTAAGTATATTGTGTTTATTTTAAAAATTTTTCTTCCTCTATTCCTTGAATATATGAATGGCACAGTGAAATATCGTAAATAATACAATCAATAACGTACAATATCCTCATGAATTAATCAAAAGGAGTTTAACTATAAAATGTTATCGCAGAAATGATTTCTTCGACAGTGGAATAAATCCATTGGCACCTAAAACATCATTTATTTCCTTTAACAATGTTATTAATTATTATTGTATAATAAAATTTATAAAGTTTACGGTTTTATAAACATTATTCAAATTAATCAACGTTTGCCAATATTTTTAAGCCGACTGAAACGCAAACGCTTAAATATCTCAATATATGAAAAGCTGAACTTATGCTATTTTTAAAAAAAAGACAGCTCACATAATTTCATGTAATAAAATATTGTAACCGCGTAGACTGTTGAAAGAAATGCTGGTAGCGAATGGATTAACCTATTTACTTTTCTAAATATTGCGGTGTTCCATATTAAGCACTGTTACCCGAAATGGAATTCTTTTGTACACGGAAAATCCGCGACATTGATGTTTATGCAAAAAAGCCGAGAGCTCGCATTAGGGATCAGCATGGAAATGTATTGTTCGTGATCCCTGTGGTTGATCGATGCCCGATGCGTGGGAAGGCGGATATGGAAGCGGAGAAAAGGGTGGAAAAAAGGAAGGGTCGGCCGATGTAGGAAATGTACGGCCTCGCCGGGTTTTGCGCGTGTCGCTAATGGAATTTTCGCCATGGCCCGAACGACACGCTCATTCAAATGAGCCGCCCTCGAATAACCGTCCGCCTAATCGCGGTGCCGATTACGTTACCTGCTTTAAATTACATCCAGCACGAGACTACGGGACGTAATCCGATTATATTGTGATAATTCTGGCCGCGCGGTTATAATCGCCGTTTACCGGCCACCGTGGTTGTAATTTAGACGGAGGAATTTGCAACAGTAATTATTGTGTACCTTAACCCTTCCTGAGGCCGTACCACGTAAATCATACTCTTAAAGGTTATCATTGATCCACTATCTAACTCCATGACGATGGGGATCGTGCGTTGAAGGACACCGGGACGAAGAAAGCGTTTACTTCTCCGTTCGTTTATACCGTTCGAGTGCGGAACGATTGTCTTCGATATGCGTAAAAATGCAGAACATTTAATTATAATTTAACAAACATTTAATTATAATACTTGTTATGAGTGTTACTTATAACATGTAAGTAATATGTAACATATAATAACCAGGGATTTAATCCCTTGACCTACAACATCGTGCCAGGCCCGCGACAAAAATTTTTAAGCGAATTCAATAAATCTGAGTGTTGATTATTTTGTTTAAACATAAAGTAAATATTACTTTCCTATTATCAATCGTTAACTTTTTGAGTAAACGCTGACATAGAATAAGTATCAAAATTTGTCCTTTCCCTAATGAATTATTAACGATAAAGTCGTTGCATGAATCATAATTGAGTAATAAATCATAGGGCAAGGGGTTAATAGCGGTATTAGACTTGGAAGTTAAAATTTGAATAATATTAATACCGGTATGAGATCTAGAAGGCTATAGCGAAACCGATATAACACGAAAGATCGAAATAAATATCGGTATTTTTTTCGGCTTTTCTATGTAGAAGACGTACTGCGATTTACGGTGAAGCTCCGATAAACGAAGCAACCGGCCATGACAATAAAACGCGCATATAGAAATTTATCGCTACATTTGTTATGTAGTTTATCAATAAACAAGGGTTGAAAAGCAAATAAATATTGTCATTTCTTTGACATCATTAATATTCTTATTCGTGACTGTCTGCGAGACCGTACGCAATGGAAACGCGGCTACTTTCACGATCATATTCTTCACCAATAAGAAAATTTCAATTAAAATCAATCAATAGGAAGATTTTCCTTACAGATAAATGAAAAACCGATATTGTAGTATCTCAGTTCCTATAAGAGTTATATGAAGATGTAATCGAACAACATTAGTTCCATTTAGATAGTCTCTAATGATAATACTTCTAAAATATGGTCGATAGTTAATAAATAGTTCGGTGTTTTCTTAATAGACAAAAATATGCTCAAATCTGGTACATCAGTTTTAATACGAAAACGGAATTGTAATACATTGTTCATCGCAATTAGCAACGTCTGGTCGGTAAGTAAAGAGTTAGGCATCGTTTGGGAAGACGCTTATTTCTTTCGCTGCGCTTTACCGCTTCTTGAATCGCCCCGTCGCTAATTATACACAGAAGTAGCCTTTTCAGAAACGACCGGGGGCGCGATCCACCAACCGTTGAAGAACTACGAAACGTTTACACAGGAGACTTTAAACGTCGACAGCAGCGAACCTCTTGAATCTTACCCAATTCATCCTATTAGCAGATTGTACGGTTGACCTGCCCCGAGGTAAAGGGAGCCATTCACAACCAAAGGCCTTTATGTACTTTACTGCCATCGACTGTACTTCGGAAAACGAAAACGGCAGTAGGGTTTGAACAAGTAAAGTGGATGGCTATAATTAGCCAGAAAGGTTGTTTAATACGCGAAAGTTTTTGTTACGCACATATATGGCTTATCCTCCTATTAAATCACGTTTAAGGGTTTAACGATCGCTGCCTTCTATCACGGATTTCATTGCTTCTACTGTTGGTTCTGTGGTTGGATAAATTGGTAAATATTTTTATGATCAGAATTCGTCAGGGGTGGAAAACCGTTAGATTATGTATTTCAGTTTTTAAAAGAGTTATGAAGAACCGGAATGAAGTTATAACTGTTATTCGGTATATCAGTTCTAAGCTATACTGATTTCCGCTCTGATTTTTCGGAACTGATATTATATCCGTTATATAACTGTTTTTCTTTGGTTCTAAAAGAAATGCGGAACCGAAAAGTAACAATTATAAAATTGATATGGAAACGATATTCCGAATAAAAGTTATTACTTCATTTCGATTCTTCATAACTGTTTTAGTCGCAGCCGCTGTATAACAGTTTCAAAAACTTACTTTCGGAACCTTTTCAATCCCTGGAATTCGTTATAGTTTTTTTTTATTATAATTTTGAGAAGACTATTAATGTTACGTCACAGATCCGGTTCGAAGGACCAAAAAATGTTCCGTAGGTAGCAGATTCGGCTCGAAGGACCAAAAATGTGACGTCGCAGTGTGGCAATCTCGATAGTTGCACGCCCGTACACGATTACTAACGCGGATTTAATTCCTCAGCTGGGGTTGTAAATCCCAGCTTTAACTTTAGGTCTCGTTAATACTCGCGACGCTTTGATTTCCAAATTTCTTCAGAAATCGACTGATTCGATTCTGATCTCCGAATGATTGAGATCAGACCACCGGTTTCTCACGATACTGAGAACCCGTTTTGATGTTGCGCGTTTCGAGACGAACGAATTCTCGAATTTCGAATTAGATGCTTCTTCGGAGTGTGAAGCTGGAGTATAGTTGTCCCGAACAATGGACTTGCAGAATCTGATAGAATCTCGTTACTCCGAACGGTTGAGTGTCTGAGAATCTGATCGGTATCTGTTTGGTGTCTGAATGACTGTTCTGATAAGTTAAATGTTCGTTTCTGTGTTGATAACTGATGTTAACTGATTGTCCCGAACGATGGACTTGATGAATGTCTGAATGAATGAATGATATCTCTTCACTCCGAACGGTTGAATATCTGAGAATATCGTCACTCCGAACGGTTCAGTGATTCTGAACTGATTTGTTTCTTGATTGAGAACTGATTTGTTTGTCCCGAACGATGGACTGAATGTGTTCGTTTGTCCCGAACGATGGACTTAACTAAATGTGTGAATGAATAAATGATATCTCGTTACTCCGAACGGTTGAGTATCTGAGAATATCGTCACTCCGAACGGTTGAGTGATTCTGATTAGTTTCTAACTTGATAACTGAACTGCGATTCTGATGCGAGTGCGATCCTGTAGGTGTTGTATAAAAATATTATATTGTTTTCTGTCGAGTGCGTTGATTGGAAAGTCGAAAATACCCAATCGGCGTATAATTCAAAAAATCGGGGGCGTCTTGGACGACGCCCCTTGGCCAACCCTCTTGATGCAAAGGTGAGGGTAATGGCCACGTGCGAGGGATCCTCGAAGATTTGCCGATGCCTTGGAAATTTCCTCCAAGTTGACTCATGTCTGGCGGAACCGTTACGAACGCGTTTCGCGTCGACCCTTCGGAAATTCCCGGTTTATGATATGGTCGGTTGTCTGTACGAACGAAGTAAAAATTCCAAAACTATTGTCTGGACATGCGCGGATTAATTAAATGATTTTATCATGGTTTAGGGTGAAATTGCCCCTTGTAACTAAAATAAATAAACTGAGTTCGAAAAAAGCTAATCCCGAAAATAAATTTGTTGGCACGTCCATATCATAAACGAACCTTCGAGGATTTTCGCCGTTTTGTTCCACATCGGACGAAACAGTACTTGTATCTATTATAGTTCAGAAATAATTAGGGCAAAGGATTAAGGAAACTGTGAATTAATGTAAATTAAATTTGAGAATTAATTTAGACAGTGGCCCTCGTTGCAACTAACAGCTCATGGTTCTGTAGGGTCACGGTTAAAGTTTGTACGGAAATTAATTATTACCTGGGCGATATGTCGCAACCCTGCTGCATGAATGCGGCCAACGCAAACCACAGGCTATTGATAATGCTGAAATCATTCGCCATACTGGAGGTTGGAATGTGTGGTGAACCTTGAGACCCGTGAGGATGCTGTAACGTGGGATCGTTTCTTGCGGACATAGAGGAATCTCCGCCGCTGCTCAGCGTCAACACCCTCCACTCGTATGGGGAAAACCTGCACATAATAGTATAACAAAAACTGCATTTGAGAACGTACATGTAGTACTTTCAGTTTACAAAGCAGCACAGGAAAACAGTCAATTTCCAAACGATGCTCTTCTCTATTAATTAATTCTGGGGCAAAAGTGCGCGTTTCATGCTACCTATGCAACTCCATTTAGTAGCCACAGAGTGCTCGAGTGCACACGTGCTCTTTCCGTTAAAAGTTTCTACAGAAATAATAATAATGCTGTATGATACAAAAGTTTAATTGAATTAAATTTCATGAATTATTATAATGATTGTACAATACAGAAATTACGATATAATAGTTTCATCTGTCCATAAAAATGTATGACACAGTAAAAATAGAATATCTTAAAGAATTTCCCAGGAATATAGGAATAAATTGTAAGAAATTTGTTTAATACTGAATATTGTTTATAATATTATAATATAATTTGTAATTTAAGTATAAATATCTGCAATATAAATATTAGTAGTATAAGTCAGTTTCGCGAAACTTGTGATATAGTTGAAAAAAGAATAATTATCTCCAGGACTCTAAAATGTTAAATAAATGTTACAGATTTCTGTTTTTTAATGTACAATAACTCACAAACTACTTGAAATTTAGAAAATCGTCTTTTCAATGACTTCTCGTTTAACTTCATTATTTCGAATATTCTAAACGCGTTATCGTTTGTATAATATAATACTGTATCCTTTAAAATCAAAGTGAAAACAAAAACTCTGAAATTAAGCCTCAAGTAACGAAACTTTTTCGTTAATTCATCATGAGTTAACAGAAACACGAGGTAGCTGTGCGTTCTAATCATTCGAAGCATCAAATCCGCAATCACGTGACACCGCAGTTGCCCTTATCGTCCCTATCAAGACTCCAGTTAATCCCTGATCGTTTTGATACTGTGTCCGAGGAAATTACGCAAGATAAGAAAGAGCAAATAGCCTAATCGAGCTAACGTAAAAAAAAAGCAGCAACGATTTGTCGTTGGTAGTCGATACATTACGAGCGATAAATGAATGTGTAAGTCTCTTGATAATGACGGTGGTTCGCGAAGAAGCAAACTGGAGTTGGTCGTTGTGTAATTATCGTGGAAAGGAGGGCAGAAGGGAAAGAAACGATAAGTAGATGGGGGGTGAGTATAATGATCAGCACAGATTAAAATATCCAGGGCAACTTCTGCTGATTCGTGTCGGGAACTTTATTGCCATTTACTCATAATCTATGCTGTAGTTAATATACAACTGTGTACAGGGTATCCAGTAACTGGTGGTAAAACCGAGAAAGACGCGACTCTGCATGGAAACTATGCCAATTATAGAGACCTACTTTTAATCATTGTCAATGATTAATTATTATTATTGTTAATGTAATCATTTATTAAGTTATTATTTCAATCAGTGAAATGTAGAAATAAGCTTTATCGTTTTGTACTTTCCCTTTTAGAAAATGGAAATTTTATTCTATATAATATCGATCACATATTTTGTAATAATATATCGACCGAAACTGGGTTCGTGGTTATCGAGCGATTTTAGAAAGTACTTGAAAAGTACTTACCTGGACACGATAAACAGGACGATGGACACACCGATGTACGAGAATATTACGCAGACCCAGATTTCCTTGCTCAAAGGGTTTAAGAAGCTGAATACTCCAGGCTTTTGTTTCATGGGTTTCTTTATCATAATACTGATACCCAAAGACATGAAAGGTTTGCTGAAATCAATCACTCGTTCTCGTTCCGACGTGATTGTCATGGGAGCTATGGCGATATCTGCCTCCTGCAAAAATAAATATTAATAAAACATCCATTTTACGAGAACGTTTTTTCAATTTTCCTAGAAAATTACTTTATCGTTTTCGAAACGAATAACTTTAATATAATCTGTCTTCTAGCAAAAATTAACTCTTCTGAACCTCTTATCATGAATCAATTATTTGAAAGTTTAATTACATTCCAAATTCAAATGTTTACTTTCTGAAGTTTTCTTATCAAAAGCATACAAAACGAATGTTCTTTATTTCCATTTTTTTTCGGCACATATCCGCCAGATGTAGTTCATAATACGGCAAACAAGGTTGAAGAGCTTGCAAGCTCGAGGCATCTGGTGAACAACTACCGAACTTTATGGAGCAAGATAAAACAGCTCGTTCGGCGTCTGTATCGTGTCGGTACCCAGCGATCAATAGCTGAATCCTCCGTAGCTGAATTAAATTGTTCGGGTTGAACCTGTGCGCTAACTTCTGGTGAATTACACTTCGAAAAAAGAACACCTAACTGTGGATCACTTTGGAAATTGTTCAAACATACTTTGCGAATCAGTTCGCCGACCATTCCGTCCCAGCCGCCACGAACTTCTGTATTCTCCATACCATACTTGCCATCTTCAACAATTCGTAACTCGTCTGAAACGTCAATGAACAAAATGATAACGTTATTTTAAATTGATTGATTAGCTAATTTTAATTTTCAGATTAATAACTATTATCTTAGTTTCTATACAATTTTGAATAAAATAGAATGTTTTCAGTCTTCTTCAATTATTAAGGGCGGGGACAAACGTGACCCTGATCAAGTAAAAAACCTGAGCACTTATACATCATTTGTGCAAATTGAAAATAAAATACTTTAATGACCATACCATTTTTGAAACTTTTTTATTCCTTTATCGTTACCTTTCTTTGTTATTTTTATTAATTTAGTGATTTGTGATAAATATAAAATACGTAAAATGTTGGAAATTACATTTGTTTATTTTTCATGAAAGGATTTGTAAATGTGAAGTTACAACCTTTTATTAAATTTTGACGATTATGCCTTTTTCGCATAAAAGACCAAATCTAGATAGAAAAATATGAAATGGTTGAGAATCGATCTTATAATATATATTTTTATTAATAAAAATTTACTTCTGATGATGAAAATATAAAATGTTCTTGTCTTGAGACATGAACTGTATTGTTGTGATTTTATGTGAAAAACCAACTAAATTTTTAATCTAAACTTTCTCAGAAGCATTTCTTTAAGACTTGGCTACCGTGTCAGATCATTATTATTCTCTTCTACTTACTATGTATACGCTGATAACTGTGAGTGAATGTCAGATAAATATTCAAAATCGTTATATTATATACAATATTTAAACTATTTAAAACTTGAGTTTATTTAACATTAACACAATTAAACACAAATGTGAACAAAACCTGATTTTTCAACTTTCCAATTTTCTTTTTAATTTCCTCTTTATGGGATATTTACTTTTTGAGGAAATGTTTCTATCATGACCTATGAGATTAAAACAGATAAAATATTACTATTTTAACGATTCTGATTTAAAGTTACGAATAAACTGTTTGGCACACTTACATGTTATCCCCAGCTTCTTTGCTATGAGATCAGCCAAATCTTTGCAGTAACCCTCGTAACGATCATTGCCAACCAACATTCTGCCTATTTCTGACTTTTTCTCCATGATGTACGGTTCCTCCTATATCACAGAGTTAGGAAGCTCGTTAATCTCATTTTAACAGTAATTCAATGCGTCGTCACTTTATGAAGAAATTTCTTACCACTATAGTGGTGACAATGTAAGTCTTGTTTTTCTCGATTTCCGAATGTGGTCGAAGACGAATGTATTTTGCTGCGATGGCTTGGAATCCGGCTTCATCAGTCCATTCTGCAACCTTGAAGATATATATAACGATACATTATACAAAATTATTTATAAACTATTAATGAAGGAAATAAAGTATTTATAAATGAAAGTTTATCGTATTATTTAGTGAAACTTTTCAAGTCATATACATTAAAAGAAATCAGATATCATAAACATAACTTTCAATTGAAATATGCATGAGATGTTTTATAGTTAAATAAAAAAAACTTTTAAAAATATTTTGTATGTAGATAAATTTAAATTAAAATTTTAAAGGTTCGAATTGCCTAGAAATTTTTTACACAAATGAAAATAGTAATTAATTGATGAAAGAAAAATAATTAAAGAATAAATATTTCTATTTTCCTTATTGCGTATTACACTTGTTAGATCATGTGATTTATTGATATAACAATCAATATAACAATCATTTATCTTTTGTGTATTTTACATATTCGAATAAGTATTTTCTGTCATATTGAATGTTAAATGGAATCCATCATTTGACCATATATTACCACAAAAAATATTTACTTTCACCATAGCACTGTTGACTGTCATCTCGACGACATGAAGAGTGTAATTGTGGCGGCGACCGTCATCATTGAAACGTATTTCTCCAGTTAATCCTTCGATTTCGACCTGTTATTAGAATATAAAACACTCTTAGCCTGCAATTATTTCTTGTAAAATAAAATAAACCATTATTTATTTTTACGTCTTTTTATTTTAATTGTGTACTATTTATGAAATCGGAACATTAAAGTATTGGAAGTCACTTAAATCAACTATGTTAAAACTCATTCACATCTTATTAAAAATTGTAAAAATTCGATATCTATATAGACATAAAAATTCGTCACATCATTTCTTAATTCCTGATTTATTGACCGATGATAATGAATATACCTCCTATACTTTTATTACAAATCGTATAAAATTCGAAACTGAAATATTAAAGAATGGCCATACTGATAACTTTTATGATTGGATTTAATTTTTCAAAATAAGTATAAAAAAATATTTGAACTGAATTACAATTCTTTTTAGATTTTCCAAATTTTTCAGAAGGACACTATTGGAGAAAACAATACTTTCATATTCCTTTATCTAATTATTCTTCCGAAAATGATTTCTTAAAAGCTTTTGCTTTCAAAAATGACTTTTCCTGAATGTTCACGTTCAGCTGAGCTTATTCTTCTGTCAAAGAAACGTATTTTTTAGAATGCTAACGACTTTCATGATATCGACAAGTTTTCACGTTTGGGCAACAAACCATCAAAGAGTCGGTAAGGCTTGGAGGACTTCCGGTGAACTCTACTATACATAACATATGTATAGAGTGTGGCGAACGATGGGGGACGATCAGACGTAGACGCAGGAATTCCGTTAGAATCGGAATAACCGCCAATTACTGTCAGGAGCAGAGAGACGCCCGGAAGAGTCCCCAGCAATTTCGGTCGCCACGGGTATTCGAAACATATTGACTATTTCTACGTTTCTGTCCGCGTTCAAGAATTTCAAGATGAATTACCGGCCGGTCTGTGTAACTTTCGTCACTCGACTAGAATCGACGATGTTCCTGTCCGAGTGTCATACACACATATTCACTTTCATCGGAGTACTGCTAAATCTGTGCCACTTTGAATCCGAGTATTTATTCAAATTATTCAACCTTATGACATGCTAAAATTATTCAACACAATTACGATAAGTAATGTTCAACTATAAGACATACGTTTTTAAAAACAATTTTATTACTTTACAATATAAAGGAATAATCAAAATGATTAGATTATAGTATTTCTAAACGATTAGTTTATTATTGATAATTCTTCGATTACTAATTCATAATATAACTCCCAGATTGCGGATTTCTAAGTAAAATTAACATTTCTTTAAAGTAATTTGAGACAACAAGAAATAGATTACTGTTTATTTTTTCTTAAGAACATTTCTAAGCGAAAGTAAAATAGTGACATTTCAAATTTTTCTGAAGCTACCTATGTTTTATATTTCATTAATCTGGTAATCAGTAATCCAGAATTAAATAGAAATTGACTTGTAGTCAACCACGTTAAAAAAATGTTTTATTTCATCAGACTATTTAGAAATAAATATACATTCTTTCAGTCAATTAATTTCTTTATCATCGTGTTTTTTAACACTGAAGGTTACAATAAAATGAAAAAATAAAAAATGGGAAATTATTAACTGTATAACATTTTTTTCTGTTAATAATCTTACGATTAGAAAATCATAATATGTAGAATTTTTTTGATAATTCAAATTCATATTGATTCATACTAATAAGTTACAGAGACTCTACATAGATGCGAGCAATATACAAACTTAGTTTATTAAATATAAATATAATAATTCAGAATCTAAAATGATAATTTCACCCTCTAACATTGTGAAAATAAAAATCAAATTTATTATGTCATACTAAATTATATTTTATAAAGTAATGCAAAGGTAAGGCTCACGGTTACTGTTATTAATCTGCAAAAGCTATTATGAAAAAAACATTTTAATGCTATCATTTTTACGTTTATAGCGAAGCACGTAAGAGAACTGATCTGTTTTATGAAAACGTTATGATTCCTGGTGATCTGAATAAATACTCGTAAAGTTAGTTTTACCAGTCGTTACGTCTTTTCGTCATATTAAAACATAGTTTTCATGCGGTTTAGTTTGATTTCTCATATTTTTTAAGAGTGAACATAAACTTGTTTATAAATCAAAGTCAATAAAGAATTTAATGCCCGTTATTGGAACATAAAATTTGGTTAAGGTCGGAATAAGTGGTAACTACTGAAATCGCAACTAGTAAATACAATATAGAGTATTCTGATTTAAAGTTTCATCAGTCTCTTATCAACACATTAAATATTTAAAAATTTTATTTTTATAGACAGTAATAACGAGTGTTTTAATTAAAAGTCGTTATAAATTATAATAAATGTTTATACAAATATTGAATATGTGAGTAATTAAAGTTTAAATATGCAAGGAATTGTAAAATTAATGTTACAGTTTAAGCTTTTCGAAGTTATTAATGGAATTCAATTTGCATTTCTTCATTTTTTGTGTATAAATTAATTTACAATTAATTATAATTTATTGTCACTTACTTTACTTTTACAATTCCTTACATATTTACACTTTAATTACTCAAATATTCAATATTTCCATAAACATTTATTATAATTTTTATATAAATAATAAATAAATTTATAATTAAAATAAATTTATTCTGACTTTAAATTGAAACACTCGTTATTACTTACCATAAAAATAAACATTTCTAAAAAAAGACATTTTTCTGCTTCTTCCGATCAATACATTTCGAAAAATACTTAACGAGTTAATTATGAAATTTAGTTTAAAGAATTTCTGATTGGGTGTACAATGAAAACAAATAATAAAGTGTATACTCGTCAAACCCAGGGCAAATGAACCTGTAATATATTCTAACGAAAAATTACAGTAAAATGAAGAAGAATTACATGTTTATCTGAAAAATACAGAATTCATCGTTGAAAAAATTAGTACTATTTTACGTTTTAAGATGACGCGTATACTTGTGGAACGTAGTTAACTGATTAATACTTTAAATTAGATTTTCTTTTGAAATATTTTTGTGCAAAATGAGTACATTATTTTTATTGGACAAATTACTCACCTTCCTCAGTAGTCTTGAAATTCTTTCGCCATATTCGAACGCCGTTACCCAGCCACGACTATTATTGCAATCTAGTGCTCGAGTATCGTTCGTAATCTGACTGCTACCAGGGATTCCAGTCCTTCTGACGTTGCTTTTGTCCTGCTTTTTTTTCAGAAACTTGTTGAACGCTTCCACGAGAACAAATACGGCGTCGTACATCAGCGCCGCTTGTGCCTAATGCGAGAAGATTACCGGATGAGTATTCGAAGTCTACTACTATGATGATTTTCGTTTCAGGGTGAACAAAAAGGGGGTCTTAGCATTCTTCATTCGCAGCAGTTTCTAACGTGCGCTATGATACACGTAATATTTAATTGTTTACACGTGATGTCATTTAATTATTATTTAATTTAACCCTTAAATGGCTAGAAAGAAAACTAAAATAAAAGGCCGCTTTCGTCCAATTTATATATTTGTGTGTTATTTCATTTTATTTAATTCATTAATCACAATATTGTTTTTTCGAACATTTTGTGCATATCAGTAAACAATAATTTTGATTATTATTAAAAAACTTTTAAACGTAGGTAAATGTGGAAATGAGTTCAATGGACCTTTTTGGTCTTTCAAGAGTTAATTTAATTATAACATTGTCTGAGCGGTGTTATATAAAAATATTAAGGAGGTTATAAAGAATATTTGCATATTGATCAATATTGATTAATCTTTTGCCATTCTAGATATGCAATTGAACGTATAGCGGTTACTGTTTTAGCTTTGAGTTGTTACAAATTAAAATGTCCCAATAGTGGCGCGATTCTGTTTTACACGTTATATTATTATTGTCTAAATTAGGATCTATTTACTGACCTACTTCAACTGCGCCGTTATTTTAATGGTCAAAGATCATAGAGGTTTTTGATTATTAGTAACTTGACTCTAAAATTCAGAATATTATTCCATCCTTTTAATTTATGTATTAGTGCGAGTAGTAGAATGTCCCCTTAATTATCTTCCCTTTTCAAATTCCCCCTTCTACGTTTCAATCTCTTACATGTTTATTAACAAGTTTCCCGCTACTGTTTCTTTCGACAACATGTTCTCTTGAACACAACATATTCCTATTATGAAATATTAAAGGTACGTAACAAAGAAATCTAATTAACTTCTTGAATGATACTTTTTGTTCTACAACTTTAAATAAATACACTCGCAGCATTCATTTACCTTTATGTGAAATACGAAATGATGGTTGTTAGAATTACATTAAGTTGCTTAGTAATAAATTAGTGAAGAAATTGCTAGATACGGGAACTGACTAGATCGATATAAAACTTAAACTGAAAATTTTTATATCGAGACAGAATACGTATGAAATGACGAGAAACAATTTAACAATACAATTTTTTTTAAACCCCACGTCATTGTTACCCAATTCAGTTTTTAATTTGACGCAAATTATTTTTCTCTTTTTACACAATTTGGTTAGTTTAATACGAATTGAAAAAACATTTATTTCCTTTTCGCACAATCTGGTTTGATTTAACACAATCGCCGAAATTGTAACATGAATTTTCATACGGTTTATTACATTATTTTGCTAATTTTCTCTATTATCCTAAAAATACAATGTATTTTTTTTACACGAAATATGTTATACGGCACGTATCTACCATGTGAAAACCAACTGTTTGTATACGGATCAGACAAAATCTTCCCTTTTTATACAAGAAACAAAACAGTAAACATTTCTCCATTTGATTCTACGATAAACACTTAAATAGTATTAACACACATAAATCATAACTTTCATTTGCTTTATAAAATATTAAATATATTAAATCAAATTATATTAATAATTTCATAATATTATATTAAACTGAAATACATTATTCTCAATGATTTACCTCAATTTTCATTCACTTTATTTTTTTATAAAAATAAATATATATATTATAATTTTATAAAATTACCCCCACAGACTCTGTAACAAGAACAAAATGTCGAACATCGTGTCGGTTAGCCAGGAAGCGGTCCGCCGGTCGTCAAAGCGATCGACCGGTTTCAAAGTAATATGGAACAGAATTAATTACGAAGCGGAATGCGCGGTTTCGTCGATCGAGCCGAATTTTCGAGCGTCGACAGCCGTTTCGTCGGAGTGAAAGTGGCGGAAGTTCCGCATCGGTGCGAAGAGCGGACAAAAACCGCGCGTGGCAAAGTTCCTCGGGTTCTGAAGTTGCAGGAACGCGTGAGCGTCGTTTCGTAATCGTCGTAACAATTGAAATTATGCGGCTTACAGGGGGTGGAAGCCGAAGCTGCGCGACGGGGACACAGCGAAGTTACCTCGGCCACGTTTCCGGACGCCGTGGTTGAGCTGACTCGCGCGGAGAAACCGAGAAAACCATTTATCGTCGGTTCGGGGACGTACGCAGATTCACGGTTACGGCGGACACCGTCGGGCACGTGGCCAAAGTTGGAGGAACCGGCCGCGGAAATTGTGTGACGATCGATCACGGTAATTGATGCGTCAGGCGCTGTGCAGTTTGGTCTTTCGACCTCCTCTAGGCTGCTTTTACATATCGAATTCGGTGGCGGCGGAGTTGAAGCGGTGTCATTCCTAACTCTAGAGTTTTTGATGATTGCCAGAGGTGGATGGGAACATTGAGGTTCTTGCTTGTGATAATTGTTTAACACGTTCCGCTCCACGTGTACCATTTGTGGCACAAGTGCAATTTTGGTAAGAAAACATTTGTTGTGAAACATGTGTCAAAGAATAGAGGTACACGTCGCGAAGCAGCGACAGCGTAAGAAAATAATATTAAAATATAATACCAAAAACTTGAATGTAATTTAATATTTCATTTAAAACATCAATGCAATTTATCAGCAAAATATAACCGAAATTTCCGGTAGCACTGAATATGTTAATCTTTGCCGTACCGATGACTCTAGACAGGGGTTGTATAGTTATGATACCGGTTTTAGTCCTTGAAACAGTTATTGAAAACCGTTTACAATTTAAATAAGCAACAAAATCTATTTGACCTCGTAAACTATTCAAGAACAGGATCAAAATAGAGTCTTGTATTATATCTTTCCACAGATAAATCAAAACAGAATGAGAGTGTTTTATCTAAAAATATTATCTACAAAGTTCCAAGTAACTATTTCCGAAAATCAAACAATCAATCCAAAAAAAGAAAATAGATTCAAAGAACAAATGTAATCTCCCTCAAATCATCAATTTTCATATGTGACTCATCACACGTCTAAACTTTCACTACAAAAAAACACCAGAACGTTTCTGATCTTCCATCATAACGTGTAACACCGAATCACTCGGTGAACAGTTACATACACTCCGTCGCCAAACGATATTCACAAGAAACCCGCCGACCCTGCCAGTCCTTCCAACTTAAGGCAGAAAATTGCAGCGTTAGACGACGCTCGACGGACCGTGCGAACGCCGGATAGGTGTTTCCCCGGTGAGATGGTTGTACAGGGTGACAGACACTAACCGAGGCAAAGAAAAGTTATTGAAGGAAGGAAGAGTGGTGGCGGAGGGGCGTGGGTAATATCTTGCCAGCGAATTTCGAAGAGAAGAGAAGATGATTCTGCCGGTGAAGTTCGCTGGGAAGACGAGAAGGGGAGGGGCGCAGAGATAGCAGACAATTTCGCGGAGAAAATTTTGTGGTAAGATGGTGGAAGATTCTGTCGGGAAATTTCGTGGGGAAAAGCGTGAACAAGGGTCATACGTACGGAAATAGATTCGCGGCCAGCTCCTTGAGACGTCGCTGGGTCTCGGCGATGCCAGCCGGCCAGGAAATCTTTGACGTACGGTCTGGTGGTGTCCACGATGCGAAAACCGGTGATGTTGATGGCCCCGTATTCGATCACCTCGCTCTCCCATCGGTCGTCCATTATCTGATTACACGAGAACGGACCGTTAGATGTATACTGTCACTGGAAAAGGCACGGGACCGTCCGTGCGATCTGGCGCGTTGCTCCGTCGCGTCCCTCCGCCTTCGTTCAGACGTTCATGAGAATAAAAGAGCCCACGGTGGTTTACGGATACACGACCAGGTTGTACGTGTGCCAGAAGGATTCCGTTTGTCTAAGATTGCCTGATTTCGAATCAAGCACAGAACGTCACCTTTCTGCGACGAGCTCTTCGATTGCGATCACCCGATGTATTGAGACAAAGGAACGCAACGAAGACATGGGAAAGGAACGATTTGGGAGGAAATGAATTCTGGTGGATTACTGGTGAAGCTGGTGTGATTTTATTGCTTTAACACATTGTTAATCGGCAGTTTTAGGCAGAAGCTATCTTATGTCACTAGTTATTATTCCGTAATTAATTATGAAAGTGAAATAATCTAAATAAACTTCAATATACTTCATTCATATATAATGAATTGAAATGAAACTTCGGTCACGTTTCTTATGTAATTTCTAACGTTTTGCTTTTGAAATATTCCATACTGCTCTGCATTTCAAAAATTGAAATCGCTATCGCAAATGCAAACACGAGTTAACTTGTGAACTATCAACAACGTGTTAACTCAGTTGAACGTTGCCATAATGGCGACTTTGGGCTTTGATATATAAAATTGAATGCGAATGAATAATTTAATTATTGAACTAACCAGACTGACGCAAGGTTTCTTTTTTTCTAGTGTTGATGACTTCGATGCGTAATTCAGGTTGTTACGGAAAAAAGAAGTTTAAGACAGTCTCGTCGGTAAAGAGTTGAAAGGAAATTGTCGACCGTTAATGAATATGATCATTTATTTATTACTACTCAAAAGTACACGAAGAGCGTACAATTACGTTATTGGCTTATAATGTTAATTACGTCCGTTGTTTACTTAATTGTAATTACTTTCGATAATGTATTTTTAAAGCGACGAGGCCAATAATTTTATCAGTAGCTATATTTTTATTATAGAATAACTAATATTTTTTAATTGATTAAAATATATATATATATAGAAATTAAACCGAAAACATTGATATTTTCAAACTGGTGCAACTTCTATGGCCATTGCAGTATATAACTTTCTTTTATGTTCCTAAATCATAAAATAAATAAAGTTTATAATCACATTTTGTATATATTTCAATGTTATTATAAATTATCATGCCATGTTAATTTGATTTCAATATTCAAATAATTGTATGAAAAGTATATTAATCAAACTGTTATATGAACAGAACATAAGCTTTAAAATATTCTATTAAAACAGACAAACAATTATTATTTCGTTTTGTACGTCTTGAAGCATATTGATGAGTGAATATTTCATTTGTATACAGTACTTGGAGTATACTCAAGTGTTTTTAATTGTTTCAAAGGTTCTCGAATTGCGGAACAAAAGTGAGACGTGTTGCCGATGTCGATCGAGTTTTAGAATTCCATTCATTCAACGAGCACTTACCAGACCACTCAGCAAATAGTGATACGTTCTTTTTCCCAGTGTCACATCCCTCACGTGTGTCACTACGATATCCTTAGCCATGTCGGTGGGACAGTCGAGTACTACATACTTATTGCTCCATCTGTAAAAAAGAAAAATTCATCGATCAATATTTATAAACTCCTTGTGAAACATTTATGGATGCAAGGCAGGAAATAAATGTTAGGAAGATATTTTCATCAAGAATCCATTTTTACCGTTATTAAAATATCATAAACGTTGCAAAAATCCTTGAAAGATCCATGTAAGTATCAATAATACATCATAGTTTCAGATGCACACTTTCTTAAGCGTTAGTAATTCTTTAATAATTGCTCCCAATCACTTTATTTTCTAGAAATGTTATAATACTTATAAATAGCAACACGTATGGATTGATAAAATATAAATATTAATATAAAATTAATAGTTAATTAATGTATAATAATGGTACAAACAGATTAAACTTACAAAGTTAAGAAACCATTAGTTACTAAAAATAACATCACATAAATAAAAGAAAAGAAAAAAATCTATTTATACTGCTAATATAAAAATGATTATTTAACATCACACAAAAACTTCAGTCTTTATTATAACAAAGGTTTCAACACACAGTTATGAGATTTTATTCATCAATCACTAACGCACTTATGTGACAATATAATCATGACGCGACTTGCGGCGACAATTTGCAGCGGCGACGTTTTGTTTTCAGTAACTACAATGTTCATTCTATTCGGGCTCATTGTCAGTGTTGGTTGTTGATTACCCAGGTCGTGGAAATGCGTAGCCGGCGGTAAATTGCAGCCGAGATACGTGGTGACCACTCGCATCCCCACAAAAGTGTGATCCGTCAGATTGTACGAATGCGGACAGAATTCCCCGTCCGAAAAATAATCGCTATACTAGGGCGTTAATGCACGTCGGAGCCATTTTTGTAGAAAATTTGTATAAACGGGTTTCGAAAATTCTTCGATTCCAATTTCAAATACCGTCTTTCACTTTTATCGTTCCATTTTCTATTGTATTTATAGCTTTTCAACACTAGATTTACGGAATGCGTTAATTACACGCATATCGAATTTTATAAATATAATTTACTATTCTTTTTTTAATTGTCCATTTTTAAACCTTTAATATCCATGATCTAAATGGACCATCAAAACTGTTAAGAACAATAGAATAAACTTTAGACGAAATATCCATAAACCTAATGTTGAAATTATGAACACTTATAACGTAAATTAGATTGCCATCTAACACTAAGTTGAATACTATTTTTGTGTTTTCCTTTTAACCAAAATACGATTTTCTCAGTATTAATGTAAAATTTTGTAAATTAACTTTAGATGTAATGAGAGTTTAGATTTGTATTGGATGAATTTTAAAAAACTGAGAACTTAAAAACTTATTAAACTATGGTATTTAATTTAATGAAATGTCAAAGGAATATGAAATAAAAACTTAGTGAACTATGGAATTTAATTTAATATTTCATTGTTTTCCGAAATGAAAGGCAAAGAACAATAGATTGTAGATTATTCATACATGACTTATTTCAGAAATATTAAATTATTCCAAATATTACTGATAAAATGTCATATAACAACTTAGTGTATTTAACAAACGTACGCACATAAATTTAAATATTATTACGTAAACTCTTGCGATGAAAGTACTATGAATGATAAACATTGTCTCAACCTTAATGTTCTGGTGTAATACTCTGATACAGAAGAGAATCCTCATTTTCGTATATGAAGTTAAATAACAAACACCAAAATTGCTAATAAAACAATAAATATTGCAACAACAAATGGTTACTCAAATAACATTACCTAAAATAAACATAATAAAGTAAACAGTAAATAAAATGAAAGTTTTAAATGAATAATCAGTCTAACAACAAAAACATCCTATCTTAGTACTTGAATTGTAACTTTCCCTTTTCTCTGTTAAATATAATATAATGAACAATAAATAATTCTTCGTTTCACACGCAACTTTAAAAAGTTACATTAATTTTAACTTTGGAATGTACAATAACTGTATGTAGTAAAAGAAAGAATCTGAATATACAGCTTAATTTTCTTTGTATACATAATTTTTCTCATAAAAATCTTTTCTTTTTATCAGTTGCACAAAGATAATAAAAGAATATTCAGTCATAATAGTCAGTCATGTCCTTTAACTTTCTAACAGTTCATTAATTCATACACGCTAGTTGGTATTGCAAAGAAATCAAATTATTTCTAAAAACTCACCGGTTGAGCTCTTCCAGACTACGCAGGAAATCGATTGCATCAGTCACATTCTGTATTCGTTTGACAGTTTCCACCTGGAACGACTCGTTTCCCGGTTTCAGGCCCTGATATATCTGCTGCAGCCTGAGCAGCCCTGTAACAAAGATGAAATTTCCTGTCAGCCTGTCCCGTCATGAATTCGAAAATCCTCGACGCTCGGAAACACGACCACGCGGTTCACCGCTCGTCATTATGTATGTGTTATAGAATTTTCATCTACCAAAATCTACGCACGCACGAGTGTGCGGCATAGCGGCCGCAATTCATTGGCGGAGTCTATTTGGACTGCGGTTCTCAACAAGACTGTAACATTATGCAGTGATTATATCGGAATCTTCTTCAAATTTCACCACGATAAATTAATTATCAATCGAATTTAGTATTATGAATTATTTAAGGTATAATATGCGTCGATTGATGATTATGTAATCCTTTACCAATTAATGTTTTGTTTCTTAATTTGTTAACCGAATATTTGTTTTATCATTAATATTCGTACAAACAGAATTACGTTTGGATAAAATTAATTTGAAGTCGTTTGTCTCATAACTCAGGTGCATATAAGCTAGTTTATATTATTAAAAGCAATTTGATCTAACTTATGTTATTAGAAGTAATGTAATCTAATTTATGTTATTGATGATATAATTTAATAATTTACCAATATAAAATACCTATTTTAAAAGGGTTATATTTTTTCATATCAAGAAAAGAAAAAATTGAATGGTGTTTATAATTATTAAATTCAATTTAAACTTTTCATCGTGTTTTGACTCGATAATATAATGTAAGGGCCTAATTGGTTTCGTACGTTGTCTTACACTATCAGGTGCCTGAAGGCTAATTATCCTGAAAGATGTTACTCAGTTTCCCAGAGCGACACGTAATAAATTGTGCTTCAATATCCATCATCGCTCTATTCAAACCGTGAAAGCGAGGTTTACGATGCGGAGAATTTTACGGCTACCATTATTCGATTTTAACAAAGAGTGCTCTCAGCGGACAACCGATTAACTCCAGACCAAGTCCGAGACATCGCTATCTTGCTGTACACATTTGCTAAGTATATGGGATTCATTATAATAATTAATTCGTAATCATTTTCATAACCTATACGTATGCTGTTTTAATCAGCAGTTCCTTAACCCATTAAATGCGGAATTTAGTGTAAAAGATCTCTTATTGTGCAGGCAATGAAATCAAATAATGACGTGTATACTCATCAAATGCAGGCCAAATGCACTTATAATATATTCTAATGAAAAACTAAAGCGAAACAGAAAATAATGACATGTTTATCTAAAAAAATAATACGTATTGTGATAATTATACGTGTGTGATTCTGAAGTATAATATTTCTTCAAAATTTCCATATTTTTCCAAAATTTGTTATAATATCTTTCGCAGTAATTTCTTTTTCCAAAAGGGAGAACTATATATTTATAACTATATTTTTATTGGAGTCCTATAAAAGTCAATTTTATTTCGTTGCACATAGGTTCAAATGAAAGATCATTTTGCTGTTGTTAAAGTTTTACTTTCATATTAAATGTACATTTAACAATGAACAGAAAGTGTCTTTTCATTTTCGTAAATTATTAATAGTATTGTAAATCTAATAGACACAGCCGTAAAGAAACGAAGTTAACCCTCCAAATGCCATAGGAAATTTCCATACATATTTGAGAAATACCAGACAATATTAAATAAAAATACACGATTATAAACAAAAATTTATATCTCGGTCAATTTTGATCATAAAGTCTTTGCACAATACTAAAACCATGTTAGACTTCCTTTACTATTAACAAAACCAGAAAGAAACTTTTTGCGAGTGCATGAAGGTGCGATATATCTTTGGCACTCAAAGGGTTAAAGGACATATTATATCTCCTATATTTTCCACCAAAGGGCTACGGGATCTAATCACCCTTCTCGCACTCTATTTCTCTCCTTCCTTCTTAATTTCATACTCACAACAGACTGATTAGCAACAAATCTCAATTAAATTCTTACATTCATAATAGCTTCATTTTCACATCCGAACTTACCCACAACACAATCTAACAAATTGAAACAAATATACCCATACCATCAACACAGACTGCCACCCCCAGAACCTACAATCATCAACTCGTCCCGTCTGCCGAACCCCAGCAAGCATGGTCCAACACACCCTTACCTCTACCGAGAGCAGGTATTCAAACGTCTTTCCAATTTCGATCAATCCGGCAGCGTTTGCCGTTGAATACAAAGGACGCGATATTAAACGCCACCTTGTTTGCCGATCGAATCGGCTCGGCTGGGCCGGACAATTGCGAATTCGGGATGGAAGGATTGACGGATCCGCGGCATACGCGCGCGCGAAAACGTAATGCAAAGAGTATAAATTGAAAAGTCAGGAATGAAAGGACGGACACCAGGATCGTGTCAGGAAAATGAGGGTGGGGGACGGCGCGTTGGAAAAGTCAACAGCGGGGAGGGTCGGGCACGTTTGGTGATGTCGTCGTGCTTTTTTGCAGCGCCATGCGTGAAACTGATGGCCGGGTTAACGAGCGGCGCTCACGTGTAAGCCCACTGGCACGTCATAAAAGAGCCTGCATTTCAACGAGCGCCACCGCAGCTTTTCGCGAACATCGCGGTCCCGTTCCGGCGTTTTCTTTCTAGCTGTTTCTTGTGGCAACAACGTCCCGACATCTCACTCGACCGATCTGGGAACGTCGTGAACCCTTCCACCGCCGCTTTTCCGTCCGACGGAGTTTCCGCGCATTATCGCGGGTTTTGTCCGAACACCGCTCACTGCCAGTGAATGTTCGTGATTAGTTTTCTATAGTTACACGTCATACACGGCTACCGTAATTCCCTTGCGACGAATCGGCTGAAGAAATGCACGCTTGCGCGGGGCAGATAGTTTCGAGGCTAGGGTCCAATGAGTGAGTTATTATTATTATTAGTTTTGTGGCAGGTATTTTTTGGAAGTATTGGTTTTGTGATAACTACTTATTGAAAGTATTGTAAGAACACGGAAGCTCATCTGTTCGTTTATAAAAAATTGTAATTTAATGTCCTTACCCTTATTTCGCCATTCTTATAAAGAATGTAGGTTACTTTAATTCTAGGTGACAATATAAAAAATTCAAATGTCAGTGTGTCAGGTTTAAACATTACTGGAACTTCACATACAATATTTCTCGCGTTACTAAAACTCAAATTACACAACAAAATTACATCAATCTGCAATACAGTCTCCGAAAAACGCGACACGAAACGAACATTAAGACTCGATTTCATCCACTGCATCCACGCAGGATCCGTGACGTGCTTCAAAGACGAGTTGTCCGAGTGCACTTGAGCGTAACGTTTGCGAGTTCGTTGGCTTAAAAATGGCGCGCGGCGCGTCGCCCGCGGATCGCGTACAAACCGGCTTGTTACGACTCCCTGTACACGAATCCCTCTTGAACCTAGCTCGGTATCAAGCATGATCGCGATGAGTTAACTTTGAAGCGTCAACGTTCGTTTGCGAAACAACGCGAACGCACAACTCGCCGGAAGTCGTTTAATCAGTTGAACGGAACCTTTTTATCCCCGCGCAGTGACGCCGCTCAATTCAATCATACGAACGATGTCATTTTCACGAGCAACTAAGCTCCCTCGACCGATTGAGTAATTAATCCTTCATGGCGGGACTGGAGAATCGGTCCACTGTTACCAATGTTTAATTTCGCGGGCCTCTGCTTGGATTTGAATCTTTCACAGCAGTGGTTCTTAACACTTTGTTGACCGGCAATTTTATGCAGAAGCTATCCCATGTAACCGATCATTACTCTGTAATTAACCCTTTGCGGACGAATTTCCGCATTTCACATTGTTCAATCTTCCATGTTTGGAAATCAAGTTAGAAACAAATGATTGAACTATTAGAACAGTAAAAAATCAGTACACAGTTTCCTTATTCTCTATGATTTAAGCATTCAGTGTTTAATTTAGCAAAATGTGCAAAAGGTTTTGTATACTTTCAACAATCTTTGTCCGAAAAAGGTTAAATATGAAAGTGAAGCAATTTAAATATGCATCAATATACTTTCTTCATATATAATCAATTGAAATGAAACTTCGGACATATCTTTATGTAACTGAATATTTTGCTTCTGCAATATTTTATATTGCCCTGCATTTCAAAAATTGAAATATCTAATGCAAGTGCAAACACGAGCTAACTTGTGACCGGTCAACAATGTGTTAAGACATTATCTACTAGCAGTTATGGAACTATTTGTTGATAAAGAATTTCTTAATTAGCCATTCTATTGCAGCAGCAGTTGTCATCCTGAATCGACAGATGACCTTGAACAGTACAGCTTGAGTATTTGTTTTTAGGATTATTGCAGGAAGAAGATTGTTAAGTCGCTCTTTTATACACACGATTTATGTTAAATTTATCAATGAGCAATTTAAGTTTAACTTCATAACAGCTTAACAGGTTTAGTTTTAGTAAACATTAGTTTTTCTTCTTAGTCTTCTATCGCTTATACTATGTCTACGATTAGTCTAAAGATAAAAGATTGATAATAGACAACTAATATTGAATTTGTATCATAAAGAAAAATATATCATGTAGATTTGTTGAATTCGATTAAATGTTTTCACCACGATTTTGACGCGTCATTATAGCTCAAGAGGTTAATATTAGATTTACGAGCATTTATTCTACGGATTGTTCTACTGTTCCTAAAAAAATTGATATTTATTCATGTGAATCTTGGAGATTAGAAGTTTAAAAGTAGACAATTAGAATACATATGTATTACGTATATGTATTATATATACGTAATTGCATCAATTGAAATCGTTGTAAACATTCAGAAAATAATATTTATAAAATTCAGTATACGTCAAATTGACGCGTTTCATAAACCTGGTGTTATAAATCAAACAATTTCTGTATTGTCAGTATACCCGTTACGTTTCTCGCCTTTTATACTTGCAACCAAACGTGTACCGTAGCTTCGAACGTGCTAAGAACCACTGCTTTGGAGGGTTCTGCGATCCATTATATGTAGATCGTTGGTTCAACTAAAAAGGGGGCCCCGCGGA